CAGATGGGATGCAAGGTCATGCAAGCCAGAGTAAGGACTTTTGCTGGTTTACTTCAATCATTTAATGATTCTGGTTGACTACTTACTTCCTATAATTTATTTTATGTTTTCAGGGTTTGAGATATCTCTTTGCAGGAATGAACTTCATGCAGGAATGGGCTTGAGGGCCGCTGCTGAAGTATTTGATGCACATCGCATATTACCAGAGGAATATAAGAGTTCAGCAGCATCAATACTTAACAATTCCGACCTTGTTGTTAGAGTTGGGGAGAGGTACTTGCCATGGGATAAAGCTGCTCCTCTTGTACTGGGCATGGTTGCATTCGGCCTTGATTTACCTGTCGACCCTGAAGATGCCATTCCTGTGGAACAGGATAATATATCGAAACCTAAGGATGATGAATCTGTTAGCACTCCCACTTCTACTAGACGAAGATGGCGGCTTTGGCCAATTCCATTTAGAAGGGTCAAAACACTTGAGCACACAAGCAGTACTTCATCAAGTGAGGAGGTATTTGTTGATTCTGAATGTGGTCTGCTGAACTCACAGGCAGAAGTGACTCCGACATCTGAGAGCCACAATGACTCTCCTCACAAGCAGTTTATTAGGACAAATGTTCCAACTAACGAGCAGATAGCATCACTGAATCTGAAGGATGGTCAGAATATGATAACTTTTAGTTTCTCTACAAGGGTTCTAGGAACCCAGCAGGTTTGCTGATCATATACTTTTCAAATGTCTTTTTATCTGAACAATAAACTAAAGAGTAGGTTATTTCTAGTTTTAGTTGCTAAGCCACTTCATCTTTAACAGGTTGATGCTCATATTTACTTGTGGAAATGGAATGCACGCATTGTGATTTCAGATGTGGATGGAACAATTACAAAGTATGGCATCTGAATCTCTGTGCATTAAAATTTTTGTCCAAGGATGTTCAATTTTCTGTAATTAAATCTATATTTTTTATTTTTTAGTAACCTTGACATATGTCTTTCAGGTCTGATGTTCTTGGTCAATTTATGCCTTTAGTTGGAAAGGATTGGACACAATCTGGTGTAGCTAGGCTTTTCTCAGCAATTAAGGTGTGTTTCCTTGTCTCCTCCTCAGAAATAAAATAATGAAAAGAAAAAGTTTAACTCTTGACCTGAATGAACTTCTCCATCTCTATTGGCTATCCATCTTTCTGAGAACTGTAAATAAAATACTTTGCTGCTCTCTTACTTCTTAGTGTTTGTCATGTCATATAGGATGTCTTTTATGTTTGTTGCACAGGGATTCCCAGTGTTTGTCATGCAATACTGGACATCTTTCATGTTAGTGTGCAATCTCATTTTGGTCTAATTTTCATTCAATCAAAAGATCTAGATATAAATTGCTCATTGCAGGTAGTCTTAGTGTTTGTTATGTCATAATAGGATGTCCTTTATGTTTGTTGACAAGTAACTTTACACTCGTTGTTCATAAATAATATGCTTTTCCATTCATTCATAAAATCCAATTAATATGCATGAGAGAATTAGGGAGCCTCTTGTTAGGAGAGAGGACTAATTGTCCCACAAAAGTTATTTATTGTGATCTTTAAAGATTTTTCTCATAGGGTATGAAGAATTAGCTTCCCAAAAAAAATTGTTATTAACAACACTAGAGCTTCACTCAACGAAGTGAAGCCAAGCTGTCCCACAAAAGTTGTGAACCATTTTAGCTTATTGGTCAAAGGGACTAAAAAGCTTATTGCTTTTATAAAGAAGGCATAAAAGAGAAAAGGTTTGGCTATAGTTGTTTTTTTCCATAAGATATGGTACCGAGTTGTTGGTGACGTGTAACAAGTTAATTCTTGATTGAGCTTGCTTGAAATTTGTGGTTTGTGGAGCTTGTCAATCGTATTGCAAGTTATTCGTGGAATTGTCCAAATAATTCTATTTGTTTAGTTTTATTTATTTATTTTTGTTTACTTCTGTTTGTATGTAAGATGATGAGATATCTCAAGAAAAAATATGTAAGAAGATGAGAACTCATATAAGCTTAGCTTGAGAGGGAGTTGTTATATAAGAGGAGTATTTTCTATATAGTCCAATAGAAAATGATATGGTATTTCTCAAACAGTCTTTTCCTTAGAGTTGAAATTTTATGTGTTGTTCGTGGAATTGTCCAAATAATTCTATTTGTTTAGTTTTATATATTTATTTTTGTTTACTTCTGTTTATATGTAAGAAGATGAGAGCTCATATAAGCTTTGCTTGAGGGGGAATTGTTATACGAGAGGAGTATTTTCTATATAGTCTAATAGAAAATGATATGGTATTTCTCAAACAGTCTTTTCCTTAGAGTTGACATTTTATGCGGTTAATTATGTTTTTAGTTTACATATTCATGAATGTTCATATAAATACTACCTGCCCTTCCTTAAAAATAATGACAAGAGCAATACCGTTTTACTTTTTAATTTATTCTTCTAGCAATATGAATCATGTTTGAGGTTTTTTGGCCCTGATATTATTCAATTGATTGTGGTTGATCTAAATTTTTATATATGAAGTAAAGATAGTTGAGTTACCTATGAAACGCTTGTCGAGTAGAATGAAATGGATTTTGAGTGTAAATTGATATCAAATATTAAAATTTGTGTTTACTGCAGGAGAATGGATATCAACTACTGTTTCTGAGTGCCCGTGCAATTGTTCAGGCATATTTAACTAGAAGCTTTTTACTGAATCTGAAACAGGTACTAGAATAATGTGCTTTTTTGAATTTTATCTGCTTATTTTTATATTACTGTTTCCTTTGCCTTGTGTGGCAAGTGAAGGAAGTCAAAGCAACTATGTTCTAAAGTCTCTTCCAGGATAAAGGGATCTAGCCTATTCAAGTGAACTACCATGTGCAGTTGTGTTTTTTACTTGGTGATTGGGTTCTTATCACCTATAAAATATAATTCTATTACATTTTAGGCAAATTATCAAATTAGTTCCTAACATTTAATACTTGTTACAATTTAATTCTTAATAATTTTTTCGTTAGTATTTGGTCTCTGATATTTTCTGTTTATTTCAAATATCTAGTTTCCTTCTAACTTGTAATAGAAAAACTAAAATGGTTAGGACATGTTTGGAAGCTTTAAAAAATAACTCAAAAAATTGACTTTTAACTAATTAATTAAATTAATGATTAATAAATTAATGATAACATTAGGCATATTTTTTATTGTTATTAATTTATGAAATAGTCAAAGTCATTTTTGAGATATTGTTTTAAAGCATCTAAACATGGTTTAATTATTTTAGTTTTTTCAGTTAGGAAATGGAAGAAAATTGAACATTTGAAACAAATAAAAAACATCATAGAGTAAATTATAACGGAAGAAATATTATGAATCAAATTGTAATAAGTTTCAAGCTTCAGAGACTAATTTGTTGATCTGCCCTTACATTTTTTGCAAGTCTGCTTGTCTAAACTCTAGCAGGATTGACTCTGGTTTGGTCTTTCTTTCCTTGCTGTATCTTGGGTTTCAGCTTTGTTTTACAGTTTTACTTTTACTAGACTGCATAATCAGAATTCTGAGGTGATCACTTTTCTTTTTTTAGGATGGAAAAGCTCTACCAAATGGGCCTGTCGTTATTTCACCAGATGGATTATTTCCCTCATTGTACCGTGAAGGTTAGATCTTACTTTCAGAAAACCATTTTCTTTATCTAAATCTTTATCTTGCACTGTAGTTACAGAGGTATTTATTAGTCAATTAATGTTCTAAGAAATTACATATCGTGCAAGGCTTTTAAAAAGAAATTATTCCCTGAATGTACAATCTAGAAATACAAATTTGTAAGTTTTAATTCTATTATTGAGTACCAGGATTTTATTATATGTTGCGGAGAAATTATGCATGATTTTATCGGGACCTTTTGAGTCTATGACATTCATTAGGAGACCAACTTGTATAGGAAAATAATATATGGGAAGCATCTATAGAGAAAAATATTGTCTTATACTCTCACACAACCCTTTAAGCTAGAGCATATGTTGTATTGTAATTGGCTACCTCTGTTTGGGGCCTTTGAGTATAAATCTACAAATTGGAACACACGGTTAGCAGGGTTGGGGTTGGAAGCCAATAAAGGAAGACAATGGAGGTCGGTAATGGTATGTGCCTCAGAAAAGGAAATTGACTGAAAAATGTAAACACATGTGAATAACCGAATTTAGCTCAAGGATGCAACACAATAACCTGTTTGAGAACCAGGATATTCAAGAAAAACACATCTAAGAGCATTATGATTTAACTTGTCACCTCCGGGTTGTAAGTGGTGAACAAAACAAACACGGCCAAAGATACGTGGATATGAAGGGGAAAAAGCAAAAAACAGAAAAAAGCATTTGACTAATAATAACATAGCATGCAGTAAGAATAGTATCACTCATAGTCTTGGGAACACCATATGAATCAATAAAGTACAAGTGATTTTAGTCCAGTGCTGAATTTTTTGTTCGGCAACAACATTTTGTTATTGTGGTCTGTGGGCAAAGCATGTGATGCAAATTGAGTTACTGAAAGTTGTAAAAGAGTGAAAATGGTGTATTGCATTAGAAATGAGAAGATACGCAGATTACTTTTGAATGATTTCCAATTAAATAAAAAGTTATTATTGAAAAATCAGTACTAAAAATCTATATACTGTGTATATATAAGTACTGTCCAGTAATCATCCCTCGAAAAATATATTAGATAGAGGCCTCACTCTCTTCTTTTATAACTAAATAATGAATATATGTAGTTATCTGATATATATATATATACATAATATTACGTAAAATCTAATTCTCTTATTTGAAAAACATTTATAACATATTCATATAAAATAAAATCTCTCTAGTGTCCTATTTCTCTTTAGGCTGTTCTTTCTGAATAATGTAAAGTTAATGGTAAAAAAAAGGTTACGATATGCAATCATAATTTGTGTTAAAAACTGAAACTAAATTACAAGAGTGAAATCATAGTAGTTCGTCAAAAATAAAATTCAAAATTACTATACTTCAGGGGTTTCGTTCCCACATTTTCATTTATTTCTAATCACAATTTTTCAGCCCAAATTAGAAAGTGCTGGCTCCTTGGACTAGGACTCAAAAATTTGAATGTACTAATTGAAGGACTCTTAGCTCATTGAATGGGCTAGGGAGACATATCAAGTGAAAGCTTATTATGGTGCCTGATATGGATGGAATTTGAAGTCTTCTTTATGAATTATCATATTTCATGCTTAATTGCTAGAGATGCAAGGGCCTCGTGGTTCAGTCATGCTCATGACGAGGTTAGCTGTGCAAGGTGGTCTACCAATTTACTATCAATATTGATCACATTTATGATCATCTTTGCCAACATCATAGCATCGTCATGGTGTACCTCTACCATGACCACCTCAACTACCACTGCCATAATGATCACCTTAGTCTTCTCAACCTCATGAACAACCAAAAAAGACTAGTAACTATATTTTGAGAGGAGGCATTCTTAGATAAAGACCTGGTCAGCATAAGGAGGAAGTTTAATACTTCGAAGCATTTGTGATTTTATAGGCTCAAATTTTGGTTTCAGTCATGCCAACAAATGCATAGTCACTAACTGCTATTGCTACTTCTGCATAGCCTTCACAACTGCTGTGGAGGTTGAACAACATTTAGTTCCTCCTAGCGTCCCTGTAACTTACCAAAGTATTCGATAATTTTTTTTCCTAGCATACAAAAACTTGACATACTCATGTTTCTTTGCCTGAACCAAGGTGGGCACACATGTTAGCAACATTAGATTCCATGGAATTTCAGTGAAGACTTGCATTTATGCATCCTCTTGCTCTGAACATCAACTTTGCGTCATAAGCTGGGGCAGAGGTTGTATGATGACATTGTTTCCCTATCTCCAGGAAGATAAATCTTGACTACAGTATGCCAGGCATGTAGTTCCTTCTTCAAATGACCAGTAGTACTTTTTGGGAGCAACTATGCTTGGCATAAATCAAACAAACTTAGGCTCCTAGTGCTATTATTCAAAGCCTCGTTTTCTTACCAACATTCAAAACAAAGGGGCAGAAGACACTGCACGCTAATTCTTGGGGACGATGAAAATTCAGGGAGACCTTGGATTTGGTTCACTTCTTACAATGCTGCCGCTAAGGAACTATTTGAAGACATAGTGAAGAACACCCCAATCGGGGACCAGAAATCAAGAAAGAGGACAAAAATCCAATTGAGAAAAGACAATTGTCATTCCTTGCATACCATGATAACTGGTGCATGGGGCTTATGTGCTTGTGACCGACCCATGGCATGGGTAAGTGCATGGGGGGATTAAGGATTGCCCAAAATTTCCTATTTAATTCTAGAAAATCTCGAAATATCCGCCTAAGGAGAGGGTTTTTGGCCAAAACAAACCTAAGTAGAGGCAAATATGAGTTTTTCCCTCTTGAAGTCTCATATGCGGTCGCTGTTTTGGATGCAACATCCATTTTGTTTTGTTTTGTATATTTTTTTTCTTAAATCCAGCCTTGCTCTGATGATATAGGAGAAAGTTTGAAAACATCCCTTGCTCTTGATTGCTTCAACCTCTTTCCATTCTTTTCAAGTCTAGTCAAAAATATCTATGGGTTCATTGAGCAACTCCCTAAGTCAGAAGGATACCATTAAGCACTAAGATTTGATAGTATGTTGCGGAGAGATTATACATTAGTATGCTATAAGGATCACAACGATCACTATTTTTAATAGTTGACTGCCTTGTGCTTCTTACTATCAAGCACTATACTTTTGACTTTGGTTATGTGGTAATATATGCTATGACTTGTTTCAGTTTCTCTATGTAATTTAGAGGCAGCACATTAACATCTCCATTCTTTGTTGCATCATAACCCTTTATATATTAAAAATGTTATTATCTGTGTTTCAAATCATCATTTTGCTGGTCTTTAAACACCAAATCCTGTATGATTGATTATTTGTTTCTTGTTCATGCATCGATGGCAGTTATAAGAAGAGCACCTCATGAATTCAAGATTGCATGTTTGGAGGTAAACACTGATAATAAAAGATTTTGTTCCTTCCTCTATCTGAAATAAGTACAGCTTATATAGGCAAATCTTCAATCTCATTTTTCGAAAAAACAATTTCAGGATATTAAGAAGCTCTTCCCATCTGATTACAATCCATTTTATGCGGGCTTTGGAAATAGAG